TTAACATGTTTTTCAATGTTAAACGTCATTGCCCCAATTTAAACAGACTACAAACCCGGCCATTTTTTGACAGTTAAAAATTGGATTAAGTGATTTTAACATCACATTTTCTCGTCATGAAAATCAAAATTTTTCAACTTTTATTTTTTTGACACAATAGAGAAGAGATTGTGTTCTCTACAAGTTCGAAGGAATGTGCTAAGTAGTGAATGCTCAAAAATAATTTGTGTTTTCCAAAGCAGCTAAAACTGTAAACGGGGCGCTTGTAGCTGTCCAACACAATCTACTCTGTTTTGATTTTTGATGCCTTAGAAATTAATGTATATATCGTCCTTTACCTTTTAAACATAAATCTGAGCGGATTTAAGTTTAAAATCATTTCCCAACGATTTACAAATGAAATAAAGCAATGGAAGTTGAACTGCAAAGTATTTTTCAATATATCTTCTTGTTGATTTTTTAATGCATTGGGAAAACACAAGGGGTTCCCCTGACCATTCACTACAAATACAGTATTATATATTTATCCCATATATACTTGGACGGGTTTGAGGTGTCCGCAATGTGGTATTTCTGAAAGAATGTGAAAATCTGGTCAAGGCCAAAACTACAAAACTGGACATGAATATTCCAAAAGATTTTCTACTGATGAAATTTTCTGAACTCAGGCGTTTGAAAATATTGTGAACAATGTATCAAGGACGTATGCAACTGCATTCACTTTGGTAACAGAGGCTCAATAGGCCATGCACTAATACCCCCATCAAACCTGAGTAGCGTCCTAAGTGCGCTGCTCAGACGACGAAAAAGGTCTTAGAGCGCGCCAAGATCATCATAAGCGTCGTTAAAGCACCGTGCTTCATTCTCCATGGTCGCCGATACCGCCGAGTGACGGCGTTTGATTTAATAAAGAATCTTCAAAACAAACGCCAAGGTTCCACGATTTGACATGGAACGTTGTAGGAACGCGTTGCGATCACGAAGCTCTTGAGAGAAACGGGAATGTAGTACTGGCGCAGTATACACGTGGCAAAGATGCTGCGAAAATAAAATTGTAACATTTTAGGTGAGGTGGATACTATCCGCGATCCGAGATGAAGATCTGTCTCGGCCATCACCATGTTTCGGCTTCTAGTAGCGTGTTTCTTCGACATCGTGTTTCTGCTAAATGTCGTGACCACGTGGTAAAAACGTCATGAGGCCGCGGTGCAACCGATATACACGTAGAATGCATGTGGCCGTGGCTAGAGCGCCGAGGGTTCTGGTCGCCCTACGGTCGCGGCAGCACAGTGAGGACACCACTCTGGTCTGACGGGGGAGTAACACGTTAGAATGTACGAGCTCAATATCAAACAAATATCTATATACGTTTTCAATCAGGGGGTAATTAACAGACACTACGTAAAAGTTAAGAATTCCTTAGTCTAATGTTCTCTCTATATGCCCTCATTATATCGAAGGCAGTTATAACAATTGATATAGGAATTCTTAACTTTATGTTCCCGTTAACGGTCCCCAAAATGTTTATTGTGATAAGTGTATTTCATAAGTAATATACGCTATATGTGCATACTAGACGTGTACAACTTAAAGGTATATTCTTCAAGACCCTGTTACAATCTTGTTATGGTTGCGACAACCAATTATTTATAATCGTATTAATATGAGAAAATATGAAAAGGGCTATGACATGCGAGGTGAATTTAAATCGTAAGCAATGTTTTTCTAGCTGATTTGTTTTCAATATATTGATACAATATGCAAATTAATACTTAGATTACGTCACTTCCTGTTATAACATCCCGAAATCATCTAAAACCTAAGCAAAATACGTTCATATTTCCACTAATCTAAAAAAAGTAGTTAATAGGCGATTGTACCATATAATCATATTGCCTCACTTATTCAGCAATGTCTTTAACCCCATTTGGCGATTGACATATATACATGTTCATTATAATTTATGCAAGCTTGCTTGACTAAAAAATACTGAAATGCTTTAATATGGACGAGATATTATACTATTTTTTGATATAAAATAAACTTCTTTTTCACAGCTTCAATTGAAAAATATCTGCGTCAATATTTGCCCCATGACCGGTTACGCCAATGAAATAATGTAAGACAACGTACATTACAGGGCGTCAAATAAGTCTGTTCTCCCCCTTAACTTTTTTAATTTAGATAATACATAGGATTACTATATATTATCTTAATGGAAATTTAATTTGCTGATCACACATATTCAGAGTGATTGGTTAAAATCAACATTTTAAAGAGCATTTTTAGTGATATCCATATTCCACTTTTTTGATAATCTGTATGTTTCTCTCCTGCAGCTCGGACTCCCTCGGAATCTACAGGGATACGATTCCAAAATGTTCACAAACGGCGAGGTTGCACTTTCAAGGCTTCTAAGAGCATTTGAGCAATGTTTAATGGCTATGACGTTTCTCCTGAGAAAGGCAAATCTTGAAAAATATCAAAATCACCCGATGTTGGCATTGTCACTGCAGTATCAACTTTTCACCTTTCATTAACTATACTGGTTATTTGACCTGATTTAACGTAATCACATTTTAACTAGAACCTTACGAGAAACATTGTAAGAATTATTTAAGAAGATGGCATTATTGATTTTTTGACTGTGATTAGCATTTTTCATAAGCTTTAAAATGATATATGGGAAAGTATGATAACCTTAGAAATAAAAAAGTTAAGGGGGAGAACAGACTTATTTGACACCATGTACATACGTAAATATTCGAAAATATTCGTCTTACAATAGACTAGATGCGAGTAAAAATAATCTTGATTTACGTCACTAAATATTCAAAATTCAGTAAAAGTGATGTCATATTTGAAATCTACATGATTGTAAAAGTACATATAGAAATATTAATTTTTTTTGAAAATGTGACTTATAGTTCTGAAATTCCTCATAGACCTCTTTTACTGGAGATGTATTTTAAATTGCATAGTATAGATACAATTTTCAAGTTAAAGGGAACTTTCTACTACACCCGCCATGCTATCTGACCCGAATCATCCACCTGGTGGTGAACCTGGTAACTACCTACTCGCATCTGAGTTATTGTATTGCTTTCACTCTATAGAACCAGATCGCAATGTGTCAATCGTGTCGACTAACCGCGTGTGTCAACCGCGTCGGCTAGTTTTAAGTGCAATTGTTCGATTGGAATAAACCGTGATGTCTTTCATAAATATTTTGTGAGTGTCAGTGCGCTTGGATGAGCTATTTTTGTTGAAAACACATGAGCATGTAATTTGCACTGTAGGGCTTATTGTTCTTTTTAGTGATACCTGGCGCGAAAACTCATTGAAATATCACGCAATTTACTAGCACCGCGCGCATGCAAAAATACAGCCTAAATATTAAGCAACTGACTTGCGCCGCGGGCAGTTCTAAAAAGTGAAATGAGTAAACATGATGAAATTATTGTACAGGGTGACCGGAAAAAAAGGAGACCATTGAAATAGGCAATATCTCCTAAAATAGACTAGTGACATCAATGAAATTTTGCATACATCAGGACAGTTCTATGGAAATTTGTTCCTGAAAGTGTCAATACAAGCAGTCAACTGGTTCAGGAGCTATGATCATTTACATAACATGCTCCAAATAGGCGCAATTGAGACCAACGCAGAGCTGGATACATTTGGCAAATACCCTAACATATTCCGACCTTGTTATGGCATTACATTTAGCATTTATTGCCACCTTTAGGTCAGCAATTGTCTCAGGATTGTTTTGGTACACATTGTCTTTCAAATTGCCCCACAAAAAGAAATCAGGTGGATTCAAATTTGAGGTGTATGGAGACGAAGCTTATCTGACCTATGGCTTCTGACTCAGTGGTCCCACTCAGTTACAGTATCATCCTAAGGAGGTTTTGGGCAGCCCTTGGTTTTCATATGGGATTTAATTGTGCCATATAGTGGTTTTAGTAACATGGCACTATGCCCAATACCTAAAGTGACTCTTAAGATTTGGTAAATCAGCACTTTGGCAACAGGATGATGAACCACATGTCAGATAACCCTTCATTGCCATTACAGCCTAGACTTGAATCCTGCTGATTTCTTTTTGTATGGATATTTGAAAGACAATCTATACCAAAACAATCCTCAGACTATTGTTGACCTAAAGAAGGCAATCACTGCTATATGTAATGCCATAATAATGCCATAGAGGGCAGAACATGTAAGGGTAGTTTGCCATATGAATCCAACTCTGCGTTGGTCTCAATTGTGCCTATTTGGAGCATGTTATGTAAATGATCATAGCTCCTGAACCAGTTGAATGCTTGTATTGAAACCTTCAGTAACAAATTTCCATATAACTGTTCCAGTGTATGCAAAATTTCATTGATGGCACTTGTCTAGTTTAGGAGAAATTGATTACTTCAATGGTCTCCTTTTTTTCCGGTCACCCTGTATTTCCAAAAGCAAGTTTTATTCATAGAGGCCAAAACTTATTGCCATATTATTTTAGATCTAGATTCTTAGTTAAAACACATTCAGACTTTATTTATATAACCATAAGACTGTTGACATTTATATAATAAACTAAAAAAAACGACGACTCCACAGAGTAGCAAATCTACCCTATACGAAGAGATCGGACCATTTCCATATATGGATACGGTAACGGACGAGACACGGTGCCAAAATTGACGATGACAGACCAACGTAGATTTTCTAGGAGTTAACTTGGTGCACTAATGTAAGAATTACCCATATGGTTAGATTTTATAATGTTAGAAAGATTCGTACTTCAAATTGAAACCGATACAAAATTAAATTAAAAAAATCTAGAAGTTCGCATGTTTTCTTTTCGATTATTTCCAAAGAAAAATAATTCCATTTTCTGCGTCAAATTCATAGATATTGCAGTTTATGATTATTTATGAACCTAACTATATCATAATCGTAGCGTTATCCTTTCCCCAATTTAAGTCACAATCGGGAATGATTCTTTAAGAGAAACAGCAATGACTGTGGTAATAACCTGAACATAAATGAGCTCATATTCAAACAGTAAATGCAACACGTGTACAACTCCTCACTTATCAGTAAATCAGTAACCGATTATCACACGGTGCTATTCTTCTATTCGTACATGAGTGCTTCAATCTTCTTCGGGCCGAATGTTTGTAGTCCAACCTTCTTCGCATGGAAGTTGACAACATAACTGAGCTCATATTCAAACAGTTAATGCTGTACCTTTACAACTACTCCTTCAAGATTATGTTCATTCAGTAAATCAGTAACTGATTATCATACAGTGCTGACTTATTCTTCTATCCGTACATGAGTGTTTCAATCTTCTTTGGGCCGAAAGTTCGTAGTCCAACCTTCTTCGCATGGAAGTTAACAACCTTCGCAAAATAACTATCAAAGAATCGGATATAGTCGTCCGGGTTACTCCGAAGGTGCTGCACATGTGGCGAATCTTCCCACATTTTCACCAACACGTCGCCATTTTTTATCAATTTCCAGTTATCAATTAGCTCGCCCAATGTTTTTTTACAGGTGGCTTTGTCGTTCAAAGAATAATAAAATAGAACTGGTCCTTGGAACGGGTTAGATTCTATCATTTTGATACCAGTGTTTAAAAATCTCACCGTCCACTTGTATGTCAGCAAGGCGTATGATTTGTAAATGAAGAGGAGAAAATATTGTAAGAAGACGTTGGAAGTTATCCCCGGGACCATTGCCGATGTGTATACATCTGCGCCACCTATATTTGGGCTATCGAACACCTGTCCACAAATGCGGTCTTTTATCTCTTCATAACGAGACGATTGTTTGATTAAACGTGAGATACTTTGGTGAGTGACGAGTCCCGCAGAGAAAATATGAAACACCAAAGGGCGACCTTTGTGTTCGCTAATCAGCTCTTCGAGAAGCGTTTTTGCGTTGGACATCGTGCTCATCGGCCAGACAGCGCCTAAAATGCCGAACTTCACCTCCTTGACGGTGAATCCTCGAGATTCGTACATGTGTTTGTATTTCTCCACGTGACGGGGCCTCGCCATGAACCACGTCAACAAAATACACAACGGCTCCGTGTATATTGATACCTCCGTGTTTGTTGGGCTCATTGTGAAACTATCATCAGATTTCTGGCCGGTAAAAGTCTGCCAAGTGTTTGGCGCTTCCTTCAAATGCATACGTTGGCTTGTACGATTCATGTTGATTGGAACTTCGCTCAGCGTTTTCGTGTGTTGCTGTCTTAACTGAGTACACCTGGATGCTATGTATCTCAAACACAACATCATAGGTAGATATCACGTTTAACAAAAGCGGAACAAATAAACTGAAAATCTCTAGACAAACTGAGGTCAGGATAAAGAAAGTGGGTATCTGGTTTTGTTTGCTGTGTAAATGTATCGGCAAAAATCCTTCGGCTTGGTTGAACTATTTTCCAAATTGTCCCGAGCTAATTTCCAATCATTTGCAAATGATTTACTAAAATGTAACTTTTAAATGACGAAAAAATTGGTTCCATACGATTGATCATAGATGCAAATGTCAAATAAATACAGATTGTCAAATATAATACACACTTTCTGTATTTCTGTATATTCTATTTAAGGTTTGTCTATAAACTTATGTCGTATGAGCGAAAAAATTAATTCAAATCTTTTTCTGTATGTGACTCCATCATAATCATATTCCTTATTGATCGTTAAAAGTAAATTCGAGTTATTTTGCATTATGCATTTCACCATGGAAAGGATTCAATATTATTGACATAGGCCAATGTCCTTTTTTTAGATATTCATTTAAGATATTCCACTATGGACAATATTTATTTAGCCTCTCTCAGCAAAGGTCTAATCCATTTGCGATGCCATTTACGTTTACTTCAATTCGATTTAAAATGCTGTTTGCTCGAGATATTTTATTCAATTCAAGATCAAATATTAAACATTTCGCACATTTTTTTGTAGAATTGGTAATATAGGTTTACGGTTACTGGTTTCTGTTGTTATTGCTAGTGTTATTTTAACTTTAAGTATTTTAGTACTGTGTAATTGCTTTAATTTGCATGTCTTTTGTAAGTCTGTTTATAAATTTAAGATCTCTATATGTTCTTTGAAAGTTATTTTCAATAACTTTGAGTTTATCATATGAACTCTTGTTTTATGAAGAGGTTCTGCATGAGAATCTGTTTGAGATCGAATACTCTTGACGAGCTCTGATGATTCTTTTTAATCGAGTCGAAAATGAGATAAAGAAAAAACATAAAAAATCATCAAGAAATATTGAAAGTACTCGAGTAAGAACGTTTTGTCATAGGATTTACATGCATGGCATTATACAATAACAATATATTCATCACAGATTATTTTTCTGTATCTAACACCCCAGTCACATTTGTCGCACGGCGGCCGCAAGTCGACCGCAGATCAATTAAATCGGTGAATTTCTGCGGCGAGCGTAGAAAAACTACGCTCGCCTTGCGGCCTCCGTACGGCGAATGCAGATTACAGGCCGCAGGGTCGCCGTAGAAATTATAACTCGGAGTTAATGGTATCGTAATAGTTTAACCAAGTTTGTTGGAAAACAGGCCCAGGTTGATAGGCTAACAGTGAGCTCAAGTTTGATTGCAGAAGTAACACCAACAGAGAGGATGTTTGTACTAACACTGTGTCCAGAGTTTCAAAAATCAAAATAAAGAACATTTATTTATTCAAAAGAACCAATAGGAAGTGATGTCACACAATATATTACTGCATAAGGATTGGCCATTCCCGGGTGGTCTGATGTTTAGAGAAATTGAGAACGGCCACATGCAATCTGATTGGCTGAGAAATATTCAAAGACCACGGTCATGTTTGATTGTTTGATCATTCATGGCCAAAATCTGATGCAGACGATAAAAAAAGACTTGCATTTGATTTGGTTGTTATTTTGTGCATATTATGTTTCCCAAGTTGTATCAAATTATCAAATCGTGTTTGTATTTATATCACTCCTTGCTCAAGGGTAGGTACACTTTGGCTTTGAGGCAGCCGATGCAACTGCCATGCCAAAAACAAATTTCGAAACGTTAATTTCTTCGAGTATTGCTGTGAGTAAAATATTCTCATTTGCTCTTGGTTCTGCTTCTCATGTTTACAATCGCCTCGTCTCTTTGATATTGGCTACGCCCAGGCAGAATAAATGTTTCAATGATAAGGTCATTAAAAAGTTACGAACTTTCATTTTAAAAATCAATGGGAACTTGACTCAATTATTGAGTCTAAGACTAACTGAAAACAATTTATTTGAAGAATATTGCTCTATTGCTAAAATTGTGCACTGTGCAATGGACAAAGCTCAAAGTATGGAAAATAAGTTCAGGGTTCAAGAATAGGCGAAACAAAGTTAAATAGGCGAGTCAAACTTAAATGGGCACAGAATAGCTTAGGAGAGGTATATATCGCATACGACTTCGTGACATAATTCAAACACATCCAATCGAAAAATGTCGAAAGACATCACCGTCTATTAAACGTTTCTGAAATCTTTTTTTCTGAATAATTAAAAAAAGTTAAAATATGACTCAAATGAAGTCAGAAGGTGAAAGCAATTACATCCTCGTTAACACTGACAAGCGTAAGACTGATTTGTTTTAAAATTGAGACAATTCTTTGATCTTGTCTATATCCAAAAAGTGACTGTTCGATATGTGGTCAAAGGGCAGTGTTGCCAGTTGATGGGAGCTGGAGGTAAATCGCGTATGCAGAAACACAGTGTCATCAGTTCATTATAAATTATTACGCAAGGTTTTTCCATTATTGGAATTTAAACTAAACCAACAAAATGTCTTATTTCTTCTCTGCCCTGAGATGTTTCAGGTGAAACAGAAAGATGCTAAGAGTATCAGAATGCCGTTGGTCATCGATAAACAGTCTAACATATGTATTTCAATCAACCTCTTGTATTTGTGATGAATAGTTTTGCAGTGTTCTTTCAACTGGAATTATTCTTATGTAAAATTTGTCAATCAAATATGCATAAACCAATGTTGTTTGTCTAATCAGGTCAAAAGGAAGAATATATTATGTAAGATATTATTGCGTTGGACATCGTGCTCATCGGCCAGAGAGCGCCTAAAATGCCGAACTTCACCTCCGGTAAAAGTCTGCTAAGTGTTTGGCGCTTTCTTCAGATGCATATGTTGGCTTGTACGATCCATGTTGATTGGAACTTCGCTTAGCGTTTTCGTTTGGTTTCTATGAAAATCTGAACCATTTTCATGTGTTGTTGAGGCCATTTCTCGCTTATTTATGAACCGATTTTCTAATTTTTTCGGCAAAAAACATATGAGGATGATGCTATGCATTGGTATGAATTATCGCTTATGAAAAGATACGCGTGACCTCTAAAAGTTAGTTTTGAATAAATTCACAATTTTTCGATCAAAAAGTCCCTGTCATTTTATAACGTCTTTAAAAGACTGCCCCATCGACACTTTGCGTTTCATAACATTGAAAACACATGCAATTTTTCGTCAATTACCGTAGCCATGCAAAAATGGTCTGATATCTTCGTATAGGGTGATATTGTAAGGAAGGGTGATTCTACACTGTTGCTCATAAATATGGAATATTAGATTTGGCAGCTCAAAATTCAAATTTTGGAGTAAGAGAATATTTATTTGGAGTCGGTTCAGACATTTATTTTCTAGGCAAATTATAACAACATATTTCATCTACAAATCAACATCTTTTAGAGAAAAAATATTCACATTTAAATTTAGAAAATTACTCTTATTTAAACAGGGGTAAGCTAAGAATTTTTGCATTTTCAAAACACCCCGATCCAAATCGTCATGTAAAACAGATCAAACAAAATAAACATCTGGTCATAACGATTGAAGTGTCCTCTATCCAATGATAGCACATATGCGGTATGTCCTCTTTGTGCTGCAATCAGAGCATTAACCCTGCGGGACCAGCATTGAATGAAACACCTGACCTTTTTAAGTGAAATAAGGCCCAATTCCTCAATTTGAGCAGTGCGTAACGTGTCTAGATTTTTATGTTGGGGTCCAAGTCACGCATCTCATTACCAAGGTCGTCCCACATTTGCTCTGCATTAGCCTGATTGGCTGACTTTTGTGCCTATGGTAGCTGGTCCACATTGCCTGCCCTGATGTAATCCAACACGATGCCACTAGCATATGCAACAGCATGATCATTCTGCAGATGAATGTTGCCCCAAAACACTCTGCTTACATGTGATACTTGATGGAGGTTCAAAAGGTCAATTCACTCTGAAATTATGTTTGGGAATCACCAAGGGGGTGCAATCTTTGTAGTATTGCTCCAAACAATCCCTGTAATACTGCTCCAAACATAAATAGGGTCACCTTCGTGGACTGCCACATCAGTAAGTGTCCTTATTGTCTCTTTCCTCTGGTCTACGACAGAAACGAACACACTTATCAACTTTGTGGAGGACACATCTTATTTCTTCACATGCTGTCATATGACACAAAAGATTAGGTGCAACGTTTTAGTGCTTTCCTGCCCATTGAAGGCACCTTTCTTTGTTATGATCAGTTAGCTGTGGTTTCTTTAAAGATCTCATGGCCTTGCACCCGTTCTAAAGAAATCACTGGTTGGCTATAGCTCTGGAACACAGGTTTTGAGGTGAGACAGCAATTCATCTCGTAGACTACTGGTTGACTTAAAGCGATTTTGATGCAGCAGGTGGTGGTCTTTTCTTACATTATTCTCTCTAGGGTTACTGTTGCTGTGACCTGGAGTCATATTCCAATGCCTTTGGTACCACTGCAGAATTTTAGAGACTGTTCCTGACACACCCCTAGGGTCCTGGCAATGGCAGTTTGTTTCATGCCAGAGAGCGCCATCCCTATGACCTGCTATGCTTTTTTTCGATTGTTTTATGGGGCATGCCTTCTAAAAACTCTTCAAACTCTAAATTAAAGTTTTATAAAATGTGCACAATGGTTACAACTAAGATTTGGACACCTCTTTCAAGTTACCAATATCGCGAGGTCATGGAGTCACTTGAGTGAATACAAGTTTAATCAACCATAAATATTTTAACTTTTCATACCAATCAGTTTTATATGCAAAACTGATGAGGGAATGAGAACACATTGCAAATTGTCATCAAAATGTTATCATTTTGTAGAAATCCCATCAAACAGTTCGTATCTATAAAATATTCCATATAATAGACTAGATGCGAGTAGAAAAAATCTTGATTTACGCCATTCAATATATTAAATTCAGTCAAAGCGATGTTATATTTGAAATCTACATGTAAAAGTGCATCTAGAAATATGGTTTCGAAATTTGTTTATCAAGTTTGAAAATTTAATTATTTTTGAAAGTGTGACTTCTAGTTCGGGTTGATTCTCCATAGAGCCCATGTTACAAAATCACAAAAAGTAAAATATCTTTTCTTGTATTGGTCAGATAACATATTCATTTACTGGACATATTTTGATTTGCATAACTATTAGATACATAAGGGTTATATGAAAACTGAACCACTAAAACAGATGTAATTTAAGTTAAAGGGAACTTTCTACTATACCCGCCATGCTATCTGACCCGAGCGAGCCACCTGGTGGTGCAAGTGGTAACTACCTACTCGCATCTGCGTTATTATGAGCAACAGTGTATTTGCCCCGGCGCGGGTTCCTTGACCGTTGATTACATTAGTTATTTGTAATTAAATATTTATGTTGTACTAACAGTTTTTACGGTATTAATAAGTTCACCCAAAATCAACACTAAATGAATTTTTTAGCCGCTAGTTAAATAAAAGACTGTTTTTTAAGCCAATTAATTAACACCTTCCACACAATGGTCCGAATTGGGCAGTAAATAAACATTATTTGACTACCAACTACTCAATGTAAAAAAATGTTCCTAATGCACGTGCTTCTTTAATGCGCGGTGCCAAGCCCAGTATTTGGTCAAACGTCAAACTACATGTACATAACACTTGATGACCAAAAACTATCTTACACGTCGCACGAAACTGGGGACAATTAGCGTAACATTATAGCGTCAAAAACCAAGACAAAACAATGAGCGGGATAGGGCGCAAACAGCCTTACAACGTCAAAAACGACAAGCGTCACATTTTTTACAAGTTTAGTCAACCTAAAAATAAAATACTTTATCCTTATCTAATCATGACAAACTTCACAGGGTAGCAAGATCTCGAGGACAATATTTCTAAAATGTTTTTGAATTTTAAAAAACGGTCAAGAAATTCACTTGGGGCGTTAGTAAAAATTGATATGTATGGAATTTGTGGTAAAAAATCGATGCGTCACATTTTTTTCAAGTCTCGAAAACCAGCTCTCATTTTAATATTATTTGCAAAATAAACAAACTGGTTATTGTTTTGTAAATTTCGCCATGGCAATATTGTGCAGTTAATTTTTCTTTCAAATCAGACCTAAATTAGAAGGTTAAATGAAAGTAAACTTATTGCTCATGCCATTCGCCTTCAAAACCTTACACACTTTTGAAAATTTTAAAAAGCGTTCATATACGATAATTTGAACTGTAGCCGTTAAGCAATTGTGACGTCATAAATGCACATGTTCTAATGAATAAATTGCGAAATTTTAGTGGGATTTTGATCATAATTTCATAAGTTATCCCAATTTCAACGAGCCCTGTAAGAGCAAAGTGTTACGTCTTACAGCGTATTTGACGATGTCGGGATATATTTAACTTACAAAATATGTTGGATCCCATCAAAATTTTGGGGGAAAAATAATTTCACTGAAATGCGAATAAAAAATACTTCAAAATGATATATAAAACACATACTTAGCGTTTAAAATAAGGCAGCGATTAACGCTCAAAGCTGATATCAGCCAGTATTTCCCGAATTGTCCCCAGGTCCGTGCACGTCATATCTACCCTTTTCTTAAAAAACGCGTATATCTAGAAATATCAGAGTTAAATAACGGGAAGAGGTCAAATTTCAACGTTTTCCAAATTCAAGTGTCTATCCAGGTCAAAAGTCAAAATCTTTTCTCCGTCGCTGTTTTATTTTGCCTCGGCTTTTCTTCATTATGTGGCTAGTCTAGGAGGCCTGTTGTTGGTTATTTGGTTTCCTACAAAAGCCCTTTCTCCTTTTCTGGCCGAGCACAGCGCCACCTAGGGTTTCATAATCGATGTTTATTCCCGATAGTACTATTCTAACAGGAAACATTTCCAAGTTTGGTTACAAACAGAATTTCTAGAGATGGCGGAATGATTTTCTAGACTTTGTAGAGCAGAATAAACTGAAACAGATAGCTTTACTTTGCTAGATCTCTCCAGGTTCATTTATCTCAAAATCCATTTGGTCACCGTATCGGCCTAAGAACACAGTTAGAACCCGCTAAATGGAGGGGACGAGAAATCAATGTTTAAAACTGTGAATATAGTTCCTGAAAGAATTGTTGACATGTTATGGGTAGATATGTATTGTGAAAGAATAATCATGAAAATAAACATGTTTTAAGGAATATTGTAACCTTGTGACATGCACTTGTTGACCAGATTCATACGCCAATTTCAAAGAAATTAGAATAGATGGCGGGAACGGTAGGTCAGAACTTTTGATTTCTTTGACTAAATCTTTTTCAAATTTTTATCACTGGAAGGGGACATATTGTTCCATGTAACATGGTATATGTGGTTTATTTTCTGAAATCTTGGATTGAGAAATATATAAATTCAAATTCGTACGATGGTGCATTGGTTAACATTGTCTGTTCTAACTGTGTACTTAGGCCATTAGTATCTTGTAGACAAGACTTTAGTGAACACTGGGAACTGTTTCACTGATCGAGCTAGAACTGTTCCAGTTAAAAAAATCATGAAATAATGTACGTTACTTTAGACCTTTAGCAAAGTTCAATGAACAAACAAGAGCACCCATCTTGAATTCCCAGAACGAGCATGATATAATTGTGAATATGAGTTTTCTTCACAGAATTTAGTGAATTCCTCGCTTGTGAAACACGACCATTATCAGACTCTATCTTTTCGGGAACACTGAAATTGGAAAACGTTATACCGAGTTTCACACCCTTAAATCTTTAATCACGGATTTTAATTATATCACATTTTTCTATATATTGCGTATAAAGGACGATGAAGTTTCTTTATTTCGCTCAAAACAATCTATTTACCATTATCCATAATATCTATCAATTTCAAGAAAATCACGCCGCTTCGTTTGAAAATAATTCAAATTATGTCATTTTCCCATTGATCTCTAATATTATGTAAATAGAATATTTCAAACTCAATACCTTTGAATTCATTATAAAAAAAGTTGCATATCGAACTAGATTTTGATTCACAGCGAGCAAGGAGTGCAATTCTATATAGTGGATCCTCAAGGGAGTCGCATATGCTTTCAACAGACAAAAATACTCATCTCTAAATAAATTCGAGAAAATGGAACATCCATTATGTTTTCATACTTAATGTATATTGTTTGCAGTCTAATTTTACGTACATTTAATTATCATATACATATCATGCTAATAATGCAAATGCGTAAACATGATCACTTCTCGCCTCTTCTGGATATAATCCTTGCAATTTGTAGCCGCTTGCGGTAATGACAATATATTGTTTTCCACTGGTCCTGTACGTTATAGGGTTCCCAACAGCCATAGCAATCATTGGTTCTTGTGATTGATAAAGTAATTCTCCTGTGTCGATGTTAAATGCCCGAAGGTAGCGATCATCTGTATTACCAGCTATTACTAATCCCCCTCCAGTTAGAAGTATGCCTCCAGAAGACCAACTTGAAAAGGTCATAAAACATGTCATTTTGAAGCAATCTTACCAAAAAGAAAAGGATCGCGAAAAGTTTAGAGACAAACGTCGAAGGCCTGTATCTCAGTTCTGATGTATGCTATATGTAGAATATTATCATAACAGGGAAAAACTTATGCCACATGACATTTTCAGATAACGCCAAACCAAACATACCAATATTACCGCATATGAAAATGTAAGTGTAGGATTATTTACCTTCGTCTCTCTTCGTTTGATGGATCATTGGGGTCAAATTCCAAACCATTGGGAACGGTCCAAAGCTTACGGCCATTATTTAAGTCAATGGCATGCAACATGGCCCATGGGGGTTTATTACATTTTTGTAAGGTATTCGAGAAACCATAGCAATCGGCATATGGGATGGTGATGCTGTCATTGTACATGAAAATTTTACACCATGGTGACAGCGGTGACGTGTTGTTTTTGTGAAACAACTGGTGAACTAAATGAAACAGATATTTAAGATAGGCATGGACTGATGATCTGATAATTAAGTTTTAATCAGAAAGCAATCAACTTTCAATTTAAAATTTTAGATTAATGAAGTAAAATGTCGACAAAATCCAAACGCTACGTATTGACGACGATGTGTGTTACCGATCAAATATATCACCTAAAGTTGGTGCAGAAGAAATATATTAGCATTGTATCGAAAATATGTATCACTAAAATACATATGTTTTTCTATAAAATTTTAATATGTTTACTCCAATAATCATTTTGTGTTGCTGCCACGGCAATACTTCTTGTGGGGTCCAACGCCACACCTCCACCAAAAATCATACCACCAAGGACCCCTGGGACCCATAGCGAGGCTTTACTAAAACGCGCTGGCATAAATATCTGAAAATTGAGAAATGGATTAGATTTGCTTAACTTAAATTAATCATTCTTATGTATCATTGTTACAAGCAGATCAGCAAAATTCGAATGTAACATAACGAAATCTTGAACCACAGAAATCTTTTCATCAAGAGCAGTGCAAAAATAGCCCTTTTACGTTTTTAGCATAACGTGTTTTGACTATATTTAAACACTATTACATAGTTCCCCTTTCACGTGTATCATCTCATGGAATTGGGGATACCAGTGGAAAGATCCCTGTTCTGTGGTAATGAAAACCTATCAAAGATTGTCTGAAGAACAGATTTAGCTCTGGAATTTTACGTTTTAGAATAATGACATTTTCGAGTTTTACTTTGGCCACTCCTAAAAATAATAATTATTTGTGGTAAATTTAAACTCATCTTTAGAAAAAGAGTGTTCTAAGTGATATAAACATTAATGAAAAGTATCCTGGAATAATTAAAATTGATGTTATTATATAGTGGATTTGGTTATTTTTCCTCTCATTTCCTTGGTTGCCATGTCAACTATATTAAGGCCTTGGTCTTCACGAAAGGGGCCTGGGTTGATATGTAAAGTGTATTACGGCAAGAGGTGAATGACAATCACTAGCAGAGTGACCAATATATAACATGTCAACCTTTATGTCAAACCTAAGACAAACCTCCCCAATTGGATCGATTCCAGAATTGTTCATGTATTCAATACAAGCTTCTTCATCAGCAGGCGTTCTTCCCCATAAGTCCTTCCCAGGTCGCATGTCCACTGTCTCCTTTGCTAATCTTAAGAAGTCATCAACAGGGAAGGGCTGTGTTGGACTTATGATCTCCCCTGGTAGCTAACGGGAAGCAATAATAGGAAGGGGTTATTTTGTATGCGTCACTTTATGAGGTCATCTTTTAAAATATATATTCAATGAATATTCAATAAACAGTACTCCATAGCTTTGAATAAAAATAGTACTCCACTGTGCATATTTACTAATAACCGATCCTAAAATTGAAACAGAATCTGGGAAATACAATGCACCAATTAAGTATAATTGAATACATCTACACTCCCCTCCATAAGTTTGGCAACCTTAGCTCCCCCATTGAACTACGTGTTAAAGCCTCTTTACCTTTGAATTTTTATTTACTTAACCTGCGATGAAAATACTTATACTATTGATGAAAACGTAATTTGACTTTAATTCCAATACCTCCAAATTTTCTCAATTTTTTTTCTCAATTACGATAGGTCGAAAATTGATGATGAATTTGATGAATTTTTGAAAATCGACATTCCCATGTTAACCAATGGGAAATGGTAGGTTTGCCGCAAGTCATATGACAGAATACCCATCCATTCGAGTCCTTGCAAAAAATACGAGTTAGGCAGGCAATTGAATTTGCTAACTTTATTTAACATAAAATTGATATGTTTCTTCAGGTTCAACAAAGTTATAGGGCTTTAAAGTCAAAATTGTTTTTCAAAAAACCTCTCCCGTTGAAATAACACAGGAGGCGAAAAATTACTCTGAATTATGAGTTTGAAGCGCTGTAACTTTAAGATTCATCAAATAAACTAAACACTTAGTGTTAAAAAAAGTTAGACAATTCAATTTTCTATATAAAAATATTTTTTGCTGAATCTTTTACTGAAAAAATATCCTGATTTCTGATTTGCCCCGAACCCTCCATTTCCCATTGGATTACATGGGGATGACGATTTTCAAAAATTCATCAAATTTATCATCAATTATCGACCTATTGTAACTGAGGAAAAAAATTGAGAAAATTTGGAAGTATTGGAAATAAAGTCAAGTTACGTTACCACCAATATTATAAGTTATTTCATCGCCGGTTAAATAAATAAAAATTCAAACGTAAAGAGGATTTAACACGTAGTTCAATGGTGAAAAAAGGTTGCCAAACTTATGGAGGGGAGTGTACCTTCATAAACAGAATCACGTAACTACATCCAATGGTTTATCTTAATCCTGGTAACAACTACTACAAACTACATGTACCCAAGTTTAACAAGAGTGATCTTCTCAAGGAATATAATTACACACAATTCAATATAACGAAAGTCAGCACGCTCTGAAAGAATACCAATGCAATAATAATGAAAAATGTACAAATCTTGAGCCCAATTTCCGAGAAAAAAGCCCAAAATTAAAAAAATAATACCCGGTAATGTTGCCCAGATTGCCCAATATATGTTGAGAGAAGATTTTGGACCCTAACGTGTGATATCAGGTACATGTACGTCTAAGTTTATTCTTTTTAATTTCTTTAGTCTTTCAAGAAATAGGCTTCACATTTGTTAAGATTTTTACAATATGAAATAAATTCTATTGTTCAAATAAATATAATGGGTGCTTAAAGACAATCGTTGTTTTATTTTCCCAAATTTCCACGTTTTCATATTTTTTAGGTATTTCGATGTCATAATTTCATTGCAAGAGCAATATTTTTATGTTTGCGCAATGAGAGCTGGTGAAGTGCTATTCACATATGCTAATTGTTATTCTCACGCCCGGTGATCGTGAAAATGGGACGGAGGGGGGGGGGGGGAGCAGGCAATTTCCGCTAGAAAATTCAACAAATCTGGTAAAATTATTTTTTTAAGACAGAGTTTACGATTGAATTGCAAATTGAATAAGCGCACGGTATGATAAAATATGTTAGGTATTCTAGGATTATTTTTCAACCGATACTCTTTTAAGATATAAGATCTATTAAAAAAGGCGCAACGCAACCAACGTGCAAAGTCAAAGTTTTTGCTATAAATCAAGCAACAATGGACTACACGACCTGTAATAAATACTTGTAAGTGATGTTATCATAACTAAATTAATGTCATTGCTGAATTTATAAAATAAGTTTCCATACGTAAAATAAAAAATTATCGAAAATAATTAAAATGGGACGGAGGGGGGGGGGGGGGGGGGTAGGGGACGGAGGGGGGGGGAGTTATAATTCTATAAAGTGAAACAACGTCACACGAATTCTTGTATTTGAAAAATGAACTCATTAACTTAGTAAGAAACTGGATGATATACCCCTGGAGACTGAAAAATGAGGACATTTGGAGTAAAAGGACTTAAAGTCGCGAAACATCTTTAATCATGTCTTATATACATATTGCTCCCCCCCTCCGTCCCCTCCCCCCTCCGTCCCAAATTCATAATTTTCGATTATTTTTTATTTCACATATGGAAACTTATTTTATAAATTCAGCAATGACATTAATTTAGTTATGATAACATCACTTACAAGTATTTATTACAGGTCGTCCAGACCATTGTTGCTTGATTTATAGCAAAAACGTTGATTTGTGCCTGTTGATGGCCTTGCGCCTTTTTTAATAGATCTCATACCTTAGATGCGTATCGTTTCAGAAAAAATCCCAGAAAACCTAACATATTCTACCATACCGTGCGCCTATCCATTTAGCAATTCAATAGTAAACTTTTTCTTGAAAAAACAAATCTTCCAGATTTGTCGAATTTCCTAGCAGAAATTGCCTGCTCCCCCCCTCCGTCCCATATTCACGATCACCGGGCGTGATTCTATAATGCAACCCATTTATAAAATTCCGATACCTGTCATTCAAAAACTAGAGTAGAAACTGCCTGGCATTCAGCATGATATTAAAGTTGCTTAGCAAAATGTTACTGGACCTATTTCTCCCTAAATGAGTTACTAAATCAATCACTGGGCAAATAAATACAGGGTGTTCAAAAAATGCAACCCAAAGAAATCGCTATATCTTGACAAATACTGGTTCAATTATGTTCATATTTTCAGGAAATAAAGAAGAGACTGTGTATGTATAGCTCCTGTAAATGGTTAGTTGTAAAACATGATGCCTTGGACACTTGCTCAAAAGACAGTTGTACTAGGAAAATACGAAAAACGCAGTCAGGGGTGACTGCAACCTCAAAAAAACTAAATAACTTTCCAACCATAGTGTTTTGGCTCTTCAAATTTGGCACAAGTTATCTTCATTCACTGTATGGTAAATCCGTAAAGTGAAATCAAAATCACTCCAGGGACTTTACAGTCATGGTTGAAATGCTTTCAAATCGCAGTGAAACGCCCTGGTTCAGGGAGACTTAAGAAGCCATTTTGACCATGACTGTGAAGTCCCTGGAGTGATTTTGATTTCCATATTTTCGCATTCTGACTGCGTTTTCTTATTTTCCTAGAACAACTGTCATTTGAGCAGGTGTCCAAGGCATCATGTTTTACAACTTCATGACAATAGAAGCTATACATACGGAGTCTCTTATTTCTTTTCCTGAAAAAATGAAATGAATTGAATTAGTATTTTCCAAGATATAGTGATTTTCCATTTGCGTTTTTCGTATTTTGCTAGTACAACTGTCTTTTGAGCAAGTGTCCAAGACATCATGTTTTGCAACTAATTAACATCAGGGGCTATACATACATAGTCTCTTCTTTCTTTCCTGAAAATATGAACATAATTGAATGAGTATTTTCCAAGATAAAGCGATTTCCTTGGGTTGCGTTTTTTTAACACCCTGTACATGTACAGGAAGGCCCAGATGTGTTATAGGGCATTCAGAATCACAATTCCATGATCTTAAAGCTGCTTAGCAAATATTATGTGGAACTATTTCTCCCTAAATGAGTTACTAAATCAATCACTGGGCAAATAAATACATGTACAGGAAGGCCCAGATGTGTTGTAAATACCTGATTTTATCTGGCAAAAAGAGAGAAAGGGAAATTCCTGAAGCAGTTAATCTGTGATTTCTAATTCGAGTCATGTTATCGCAAAAACTAGGTAGCTTGTAGCAGTGTATTTGCTTTTCTCATGGACTCTAGATCCTCCCTTTCCTGCCATTGGTTTTGGCTAACATGGCAATGTCCCTTAGTCTCATAATATGAATATTAATTTGGTAAGTCTAACATAAATTTTAACTGAGAGTGAATTCCCCTTTAATGTGATGTCATCAAAAGTTGTGTAGTGGAGAACAGGGAATTTCTGTGGTAAATTATCTGAAAATAAATACTCAACTTAAATTGAGAATTCCCCGTTTATCCCTAGAATTAGGGGACAAAGCCTGCCTTTCTAGAAAGGTAAGAGAATTCTGCCGAACTTCTCCTTGGCAGGAATATGTATCAAAAACATTTAGATCACTTGCTAAGCGACTTTAAGTTTATGCCCGTTTGAAATAATTTAGTTTCTCATCAACTGTACTTCTGCTACACCGGGAGAAAATGCAAAGATTGAATCTCAAAAAACCTTGATCAAATCAACAAACAAACGCAATACATACTTCTGAAATAGATGGCACTGGATGTTCTTTAATACCAAATACTGGATCACCAGTTTCAGCATTTAATACGAACAGGAATCCCATTTTAGTGCCCTGCAATTACACATAGGCTACATCGTGAAAACTGCTGTCCATCTACTGCAACATCAATATCTGATGTGTCAAATCATCAAAATACGACTAAACGTACAGAAATATAGTAATACTTAAGGATATTTTATCACCGACCGAGAAGATTTCCACCACACTCCCTTGATACAATGAAATATACATATGATATAACCACAGAGTTAAAAAAACAGGACCGAAGAATAGTTACTAGGTCAATTTTGCATATTCTGCCTTAAAATGTCAGAATTATTTAGTCCATTCAATGTGAACTTGTTGCGAAAGTTTGATGGTAATCTGCCCATTGAGTCAAAAATTACAGCACTTTACAAAACATGCTCAAAGTGGGCACTTATCCTCTCTATGCACAATGGAATCTGGCGCACGAAGTTGTTGATGACCCTTCTACACACATTTCTTTTTGAATGGACAAGTTTATTTCAGCTGCTACTGGGGCTTATAATTACATCCTCCCGAAGACGTGATCCAGCATCCATTGCATTCTGAAAAATGCACTGCCTGGGTTTTGCAATACACAAACATGGAATCATTGGTCCCTATTGATTCGAAGGTGATTTTGGATCTGCCCATTTGGAGCTCTGTAGTTGTTCACCCATTTGATAGATCATCAAACTTTCATAGCAAAATTCACATTGAATGAACTAAATAACTATCATTTATATTATAAATTCATTTTTATTCTGAACAATACTTACTTATAAATTACTTACATGTACATACGTACCTATACTGACCTGACATGAGTTAGAAAATTTTAAATTCTTCGGTACTGTTTTTGCACATAAACATACAGGAGTAGCATTGGAGTTGGTAAGAATACTAATATAATCAAGGTGCCATCATCAGAAACTTCAGTACAGTAAGGTATTCTCAGCTAAATTGTGCTATTACCATGGCGACTTTATATCCATGGTTACAACAAGAAATTTAGGAGTTCTTAACTTTATGAAATTTCTGGTTATGGTCCTTGGTTACCTGCAAAACCACCTTCTGTCTTTTGCCGCGACGTGTGATTTCGCCAATGACAGGCTGATTATTTAAATCCTTGAAAGAGAAAACAATTTACATTAGACATTTAAAAGGAACTTCAAATATTATTACAAATTTTAGCAAGATAGGTTTGAGAGGTATGTCAAGATATAAAAAAGAATAAAATCGACGAAACGACACAAAACCAATCACTGAATACTATTCAAAGCTTCTTCTATGAATATAGTCCGGAGTAGGGATACTAGTGATGCGGTTGTTTGATACCTTTTTAAGAAAATTTGAAAGTCTTGGAATAGAGGTGAATAATTGCAAATCACAGTTGTTATTCATATGAATTACTCATTGCTTCGTTATGAAGTATTTTGACAAAAAATCTTTGTAAGACAATATGAAGGAGTGAGGTGTTACACGCACACAAAATGCTTCGTTACGAAACTTTTTTGAAAAATTCTTAAGAAGGAAGCAATGTAACCCTAATACCAATATAATCAGTGTGCACCTCAAAAGCACTGAAAAGTGTACAACTTATGTGGTCAATTACACAATGCCGTGCACAACTTACATAGGCAGATACATGATATGACAAACAAAAGTTAAAAAATCATGGTGTTCAACTTACATAGTCAAACACATCATGGTGTACAAGTTGCCTGAACCAGACTAGTTTCCCATCGGTGGCATTCAAAGCAACAACTGAGTCGCAGTAGTGATTGTCACCAATTCTATGAGTTCCCATGTGGTCAAGATTAGCTGAACTCGTTGCCATGTAAACCAAACCTAACAACAATACAAATAGACATTCATTTTGTACATAGCAAACACAGATGAGGAACAAAATTTAACTCAAATATCTTTGAGCTTGAAACTTCAATGTGAGGGAACACCTATAATATAAATGATACTTTTTTAAAAATTAAAGTACTGTATCGATTTATCTTGTTGTGCTTCGTAACTATTTTTACATTGAAAGACTTGAAGAAAAAATATTTCACACCGAGCTCGTTGTCGCCACTTAAAGGAGCCCACGCATTGCCTGATCCCACGTATTTGGTGCCATTACGGTACGTTTTCATAGCAGGGTCGTCTGGATCAGTTGGAATAATCATAAACTTCCACATAAACTTCCCGGTCCTTGCATGAAAGGCTGGGGCAAGCCCTTTAGGAGCATCGGATCCACAATCATCCGATATTCCTTCAATTATAAGATGCATGCATTGTAAATAAAGTTGTTAACCCTACTATCACACCAAACTAGTTCTCACTGCGTTCTCGAAAACGGGCTTCAACTGTATACGAACGGACTGGACCTACTAAGAACCGTTTGGGATCTATTTACAAACTTCATCGAACGTACTCGAACGGGTAGGTCCTCTAGAACTTAGACAATGCTCAAAATGTTCTCGTGGTCGTCACGTTCTACAATTAGAACGAGTGACAACGTACTAACGACGAGCTGGACTTACTACGAACGGAACCGTCGTAGTTCAATCCTACTAGGGACGTTTTAATAACGAGTTGAACTGTCTGCGGACGTGTTTAGAACGAGGTAGAACTAATTTGAAACGGGTTTAAACTGATTAAGAACGTATTTAACACTGCTTATGAACGAGTTAGCAAAAATATAGCTATCACACTAAACAAGTTGCCACTGCGTTCTTCAAAACTGGTTTTAAACTGTGTGCGAACGGAATGAACGTAGCTGCAACTTTCTAAGGTCTATTTACGAACTTTATGAACGTTTTCAGACGGGAATGTGATTTTAGAATTTTGAATCGATTCAAAATTCGATGACGACCATACCGTTCTGTAATCAGGTCATGTTGACCTTCTAGACTAAGGGACGCGTTCTACGACGTTGCACTCCGACATGGTGCGACCTGAACGAACTGCAAACGAGATGGACGTATTGAAGACTGTTTAAGAACGAAGAAGCTAATTATTTCAGACATATTTCCCGACCACAGCCAGATTGAGCCCGTTTGACGACGTTTTCGTAGGACTGGCAAGAACGGGTAAGAACTAGTTTGGTGTGATATGGGGGTAAGGTACTACAAGGCTGCTTATTTGACAGGAGTGGTAAACAATGTTTATTGACTATTAATAACAATATGTTAAAGTCAAACCACTTGTACAACTGAACATAATATTTTACTTATCTTTTTTTGTATTTTATGTCAATGATGTTATTTGTTGTATGTAATACCACATTGGCATTTTTCCATTGTGCCACTGTTTAAAAAGTGATTGGCAAATTAATAAATATTATTATCGTATGATATGCTCTGTGAAATGAAGCCTTCTGATTGGTCAGTTCTTGTGCTGTACCAATCTGTATTGCTACTGAGATTGTCCCAATTGATCATCTCCGTCGCAATACAGAAAAATATTGGTACGGAGGGGACAATCTCAGTAGAAATACAGAGGATCACACGATAAAAACGTTATTGAATGATCTGAAGTGCAATACATAATATATTCTATCTCGATATTCTGTATTGGCACTCGACTTCGTCTCGTTCCAATACAGAATTTCTCAAGCAGAATATATCCTGTATTGCACCTCAAAGCATTCAATAACTTATAATTTAAACTAGTAATAAAAACTGAGAGTTTTAAAATGACTTTATCCGACCCACTTTGGATGATGCACGCTAACCATCGGTGGTGTGTAGATTATTGCTTATGTCACATTTTATAATGATTGGGTAAGACTACATTATAAGCCAAAATGGTACATACACTTCTCCTGACGTTTTTGAAGTAACTAATTAAATTGCACAAACAGGTAAAATAAAAATGCTCTGGTAACCACAAGAATTAGTAGTTTCGTAGTATCGGCATTGGCAATACTTTGCATTCACACAATATTGATATATCGGCATAACAAATTACATGAATTAAAAATAAGGAAACTAAAAATTAAAAATATGACGCAACAAGAATTTAACATCAACTTACTTTGCCCAAGAATTAGTGTTTCCATCACAACTGCAGGTGCGTACATATACGTCAGACAATGTACATCAGGACTAGCAACTTTTAAATCGACAAAGCCCTATAAAATGTGAACGGTATTAAAAAATATCAATAGACCCTTGCAATGTCAACAATCTATCAACAGTATAGTGTACAGTATAATTTTTGTGAGAAGACTTAACGAATGGTCACTGGGATTAACACTTGTTCCCCTGGTAAGTGAATAAGGGTAACCCATCGAGTCAACGGTAGATTACAGGGTGTCAAATAAGTCTGTTCTCCCCCTTAACTTTTTAATTTCAGAAATAACATAAGGTTGGTATATACCATCTTAGGGAATTCAATTTGCTGATCACACACCAAATTTCAGAGTGATTGGTTAAATTCCCCAATTTTTAGAGTATTTTTAGTGATGTCCATATTTCACTTTTTTAATAGTCTGTATGTCTCCCCCAGCAGCCCGGATGGCCTCAATTCTACAAGGGTATGATTCCGTTAAAATCATACAGAACGTTTTATTTTGGCTGTTATCAACTATTTTGTGATGAAAGATGCCCCTGCTTCAAAAGCTCCCCTGAATGTAACACAATTTACTCTGTAACGATATTGAGAAACATAGAAATCACCCAATGTTGGCATTGTCACCGCAGTATCATTTTCATTTTTCAATCACTATTACCTGGTAATATTACTTGTTTTGATGTAATCAAAGGTAAACTACAACCTTACAAGAAACATTGTAGCAATTTTATTAGGAGGAGTTTATGATTGATTTTTTGAGGGTGATCAGCATTTTCCATAAGCTTCAAAATGATAAATGGGAAAGTATGATAAATTTAATGATAAAAAGTTAAGGGGGGAGAACAGACTTATTTGACACCCTGTACAACCAATTTCTTCAACTCATAATCTTAAACTAAACGATATGTTACAATTTAGTCGTAGTCGTAACGACAAATGCCTTTACCTCAACACCAAAGTTAGTGCAGCGTTTTCCAGTTGCTGCATCAACTGCTATCAGCCTATGGTCTACCGTAGGCAAATATATGCTACGTTTGCACAATGAACCACGCTTCTTCAGTGGGTCTAACCATGTTGCGACTCCCCGACAAGTCAATCTATAAGAATATCATCAATGTACTAAGTATCAATTTAATTCTATAGCTTTTCGAATCTTTTCTGTTGTATCCATCTCCGTACACATTTAAAAATAACCAATCAAAATTTTGGAATGATATCACGTGACATAAGAAGAAATGGCAATTGCAATTTAAACATATTGTCGGCAAAAATAGAAAAGAACACAATGGGTACGTTTATTAGACAATCATAATACAAAGTATGTGTGAAGCGTAACTAGAGACCCTGTATATCGATTGTCAACCCTTACTTCCCCATCATTAGTATAGGGAATTCAAAATGGCTGCATTAGCCTACTGATTGTTCAAATAGGTATATCCCAGACCTCTCTATCCTCAAAAATTAATTTGGCGTTGATATATCGATAAACCGACCATTTTATTAAAATTACCTCCCTGAATCTTTAATATATGGAGTTATCCCATCGCTGTTTCTCCAAATCTCGACACCAGTTGATGGGTCTAGAGCATACATTTCCCGCAAAGGAGTACAGGATATCAATACATCGTTTCCTAGATAAAGTAGTTGGAAGAATAGGTAAAGAGCATCGTGGGCGTAGCCAGCAATTTTCAATGGGGAGGAAGGGTGCGGGGTTTTTTGGTTTGCATCACTGCGGGCGAAGCGAGTTGTACCCCCGGAAATTACTTAAATTGACATTATCAAACTCTGATTTGTGTATCTCATGAAAAGTTACATAAGATTGCAAAATTTCAAAATCAAAGGGCGTCCCTGAAAAAAGAAACAATGTATCAAAAAGTATGCTGGTGCGCTGTAATTTATAAGCAATTTTGTAAGCAATTTTGGACCCAGTATGGCGATCTGTTTAGTTTGTCCGTTACCAATTCTTTGTAATAAAGCTTTTCCATGGCCTCTGACCTTCTTATAAGCCACTGACATGAATCCAGTCTCTATATATTCTTTGTGAACAACTACCCGACAACTCTTTCAGGATGACAATTGCTAGAAATGTGCAATACAGGAACTAAATTTTGATATTATATTTTCTCTTACTCTACACATTTTATTGTTGCACCCGTTATTGTAGAAGAGACCTTTAATCATTTTCATTAAATCACTTTATTTTCTCAATTATGTACAAGAAATTACATGTACACTTTTTATAATATTTATAAATCATTGTAAATACAGGGTGGTCAAAAAAAAACTGCAACCTAATTTTTCCTCATATCTTTGTCATTTTTGGAAATTTTGCCCTGATATTTTGCACACATGTACATCATTCAATTTCATACTAGACTGTATCATTTCATGAACATTGGACTGGTAGTCGCAATGTTACAGCACTTTAAACAAGGTGCCCCAGTTTTCCAATATCGTGCTGTAGGCAAACCTGCACATGTTTTCCAAACCTGTCAATGACATAACAGCATTCCTCAGCAAGTATGGCCTGAATGACACATGTGATCTCTATTTTAAAGTCAAATGTCTTTCTTGTGTTATTACTCTACAGTCTATCTTTGGGGTATCCCCACTGGTAAAGATTAAATGGGGCAATATCTGGGCTATGGGGTGCCCATTCATTGTCTGTTATATTCCTGATAATGTGGTCATTGAAGTGGTCCCAAAGACATTATTGTGCATCATTTGGTGTATGTGGTATGGTTCCTTCCTGTTGGAACCACTGTTGCTGCCTTTTAACCCCCTGGGTTCACCTAAAGTCCCCAAGAACTCCATGGGAATCACAAAATAGAGTTTGATGTTGACAGTTATTGCATATCCGTTAGCATCCTCAAAGGTAAAGGACCCTATCTTCTGAGGACACACTAAACTGTGCACCTGTTTGTGTGAAGGTGGCTTTCCACTACTTCATAAAGTGCTTGGCTCCCCAAGAATACATAATTGTTAGAGTTTACCAGTGAATCAAGTTGGAAATGGAGTTCATTTGGATATCAGGCCAGCTCAGACAGCTCGAAAGTGGCCATCTGGGGTATGTTGCTTAAAATGCAGTAATAGTGTGACTATCAGTCTGGTGGTCATGAAATATGGTAGGTTGGTAGGAAATTGAATGATGTACAAATGTGTAAAATATCAGGGAGTTATTTCCTAGAATGACAAAGATATTAGGAAAAACTAGGGTTGCCGTTTTTTTGACCACCCTGATACCATTATGTGGCACCTAATAGTCCCTCATGGAAGTTGTAGCCACTTAAACCTGCAAATATGTTACATTTGATTTTAAAAAAAAAAAAAAAATTGTCCTTTAAATTGCCCTCAAAATGACCAGAAATTGCCCCTAATAACCCCGTACCCACATACTTTGGTACATTGTATCTTTTTTCAAGGGCAACCCTGGATCCTGAAACTTTGCACTTTTATGTAACCTTCTATGAGGAACAAAATGGTATATAACATAATAGGGTGGCAATGCTTCATACATAATTTTAGATGGGGTGCATACATATGAAGCACCCTGTATGTAGTGAGGATACACTTTCAGTTCTACACTGTGGCTATTTTTACGGTAAAGATTAAAAGGTGGATTGGATCGAGTGGATTGGATTCATGTAAAAGGTGGATTGGATTGGCTATCTTCAAAATATGGTTTTTCCTTTAAAAAATTCTATTGATCTCCCTTTAGGAAGATTAGTGCTCTCTACACTTGCACAATGTCAAATAATAGATGTAATATTATTTTGCTTAGGTGGGCTAGGAGGATGACCTGGTACCCGCTTTCTGATACACGATCTTATTCATTCCAAGTGTAATTTGAGACATTTCATAAATCATAAGGCAGACTGGTTTGAAGATCCATATCATCTGTTTTCAATCCAAACTGAACATACCAGAAATGTTTTGTGAACATTCACACATCAATTTGAATGACAGGTTTTCTTTTTCTAAAGATCTATGTCTTACAAAAGTTGATTTACAAGGGAAAGCGGTTAAATACTTAAGAGTGTCCATGAACTAATTGGAGTATGCATTTGTCATTACTTTGTTCTGATTTCTCAAAAGGGACCTGTAATACTGTAGAGAGAAATTGTTTAGAGGGAGATCAACGGAATTTTTTTTATAAGAAATCCCACATTTTGAAGATTCCCGATCCAATCCACCTTTTACATGAATCCAATCCACTCGATCCAATCCACCTTTTAATCTCTACCATTTTTACCGATCCGCGTCCACTTATGATTAGATAATAATTTTAGCATGACAAGATATTTGAGGCATATTATTGACAAATGACCTGTCAACCTTCAATATAGGCTAATATAAATCTTATGAACCAATTAGTCAATCAATGCCATATTCAACTTTATAGACTCCATTTTATTCACAATAATGGAAAGTATTTTACTATGTTTCGAGCCGTCTTCCACCATAATTGGAGTTGATTGGTCGTCTAAATTAAACTTTTCAGCTTCATATCTCTCGTGGCCTGTTCCATATCGGTAAGTCCAAGCTAACTTCAGTTTTTTGACGTTGTTAACATTAATGTCGAGTAAAGGCGAGTAGCGAGTGCCGCCAACGGGATTTCCGTAGTTCTCCCAATATTCTAACAAGAAAAACGAAGACGATAAATAATTTTCAAAATCAATAAAAGTACTTTTGTAAATATATCAACGTGTTTATAAATCAAAAGGCTACACGTACCACTCAAACTGATACACGTGTCTCTCCTAAATGGTCCTTTTTGTTCTCCAATCAAATTGCCTTCGTGGTCAATCAAAATGTGGATGAACATTCTTCGTTTCTTCATAGTTATAATTTTGACCTAGTGAATTATTTTGTAGGATTGAGTTAGGAAATAGTTTTATATAAAATGGTGGCATTCATGATAAAATGAGTATTCTGGTTCCAAAGTTAAGGTCAAGATTAACGGATACCAGATTGACTTATGATTTCCAAACTAGAAAACAATTTTTTTGATATCTCATTACTATAAGTAGATTTGCATCGGCTTAATTTCAATTTAAAATTATGCGCTAATACCAACAGAACAAGCACACGTCTTATATACGTGTTACCTTTATAGTGTAAGCATCACCACTTTTGACATATAATTTACAATTCCATTGACCAAGGCGACCGTATCTCGCTTGATAATCATCTTTAACCTAAATATTAATGATATCGTTTAAATAACAATAGTTTTCCTGAAAAAATAAAGATTACTTTTTTCATTTGGTTAGTAACTCAAGTTAAGGGGTAGTCCATGTTCATACCATAGCTAAGTACGGCATGCAGATTTGATAATATAGTTTAGTACTAAAGCATAGAAAGCAATGTTAAATCCATTTAGAATACCATTATCATATTAGATACTTATATAAGATGATCAAAATAGGATTTCCAACTTGCATATGCTGCTTTTGTCTTTTTAGATAACGCAAAAGAAATAACAAACATTATCTGATTTATGATGAAACTACAGATTACTCACAGAATTGCACATTTTCCACATTCGATCACCTTTCTGTATCTCGTAATGTTGCATCCCATTGCATTTCTTGTTCATTTCCTCAATTTCAGGTTTTCCCGCATGGCAAGATGCGAAACATAACAATAGGAAAACGAAGGCACTCATCATAGCCTTGCCCAAGCTTTTAAACGGTTATGAGAGCATGAACAGAAATACGTATCTTAAATCATATAAATTATATGTATTATACATAAATATATGAAACCAATTTGTCATATGTCTGATATGTTGAAATACATCACAAAGCAAATACAAACATCCTTCTTGTCTATATATTATTTATTTTTCATTAACTTTATTAATAATTAGACTCCAGATTGAAAATATGGAGTCTATTGTTTTTGCCTGTTTTCTTTATTAGACTCCAGATGAAATCTGGAGTCTATTGTTTTTGCCTGTTTTCTTATTATTATTTTTATTAGACTCCAGATTGAAAATCTGGAGTCTATTGTTTTTGCCTGTTTTCTTATTATTCTTTTTCATTCTTTCTTTCTTTCTTTCTTTCTCCCTCCTGACAGATTTTCTCTCCAACTATAACATCTTCCTTAATCCAACTTACAAGGTTAACTAAAGACTGTATCCGGCTTTCTGGGAAATTAGGTCAAATTCTTATCTAGGTCAAAGGTCAAGAGCTAGGTGAAATCTTACATTTTCAACATTCTTCATCATATCTTCGTCAACATTCTTCGTAACTCCTTCATCTTTTTTTCATCGTGTAGCTTATGCCTTGGTCACATAGGCTCCGATTTTTACTACGGCGCCCGGCCGATGAGTATTTTGTTCAAAATCGGCCGGCGAGCCCGGGCATCGTACGGGCGCCGGGCGATGATCGCCACTCATCGGCCTATTTTTTGACATCGCACGGGCGCCGGCAGAGTTTTATCGCGGAGATAAAAGTTGCCGATGTCTTGGCGATTTTTTCTCAACCAAACTCATCGGTACTTACCGGCCGTGTCCCGTCCGGTCATCGTACGATTATCTTACGGCGCCCGGTGGCATCGCACGGTCATCTTGGGACTTTGCGTGCTGATTTGTTTGATAAATCTTAATAATGATTACTCATTTTAGTGATATAAAGGTTTTAAAAATAATGAGGTAAGGAATTATAATTACTACACACTGTCAGAGATTTTTTATAAAACATAAATGGAATGATTAGGCTTACTGTAAAACAATGACACACATTTGAATGGCTGGGTGGGTGGGTTGATCTAGTTGTTCTTATATTGACATTAATCGTGTATGTCTGTCATACACATTGAATAGAGTGATACATTTTTATGCTTAAGTAAACTAAACTCCACGTTTACCAAAAACATAGAACACAACTACCAAATTAACTTTCAAATAGTAATGGCCTTGTGGGCGAGTATGACATTTATTCATCAGTCCATTTACACCAAGCAACTATACATCCCGTTCCATATGACAAATCTCAACATCTGAATGTTACTCTGAGCAACATTTTTGCTGACCGACAGCATCGTACATGAACAATGTCAATATCAAATTCTTTAATATTCGCTTTGCTCGGCAGTCAGGCTGGCCGACAGCGTTAAACTCTAAATCTATAAATCATAATATTTTGTTCTGAGCAATACGTAAAGGCGTAGTAGCCTAGCTGACCGACAGCGTTACACTCTATGAAAAACTGTGAATCTCGATATTTGCTCTGAGCAATAAGTAAAGGCGTAGTAGCCAAGCTGACCGACAGCGTTATACTAAGCTGACCGACAGCGTTAGTGTACTTTTTCAAATCAGTTCTAACATAATATCTAAATGTTTTTTACTGTGTAAATACCCTTAGTAACAGAGACAGCCTTACATTTATTCTAAAATGATTGGTAAGCTATTATCATTCCTGAACTTACGGTAAGCTCGTAACATTTAATATTAATAAAACAAATGTTATTCTTACATGAAATAAACTAGGTGAAATCGAAAATCTCTCAACTTCCGGTGACCCAACCTTAACCCCCTTTTTAAGGAGGGAGGAGGTACTCGACTTAAAGTCGGCCCCGTGATCCGAAATGAAGCAGAGTTACATACGAGGACTTCGATAAACGATACACCTGTTCTTAACAATACAATGTTTGGCATTTTGAAAATTTTAACAAATATGAAATATCTTAAAAACATTTGCCTGTGTAACTTTGTCATACCTCGCTTGCGTGAAAACCGAGAATGACCTTACATTACATACATAAATCACATGTCCAAATGAAATACTCCAAGCGTGAATACCCTACTCACTTACCACCTACGATCACCCTAATAAAAATGCTACGCAATAAACATTTCGCCTTCCGTAATACTTAAAGTAATTTTCAAACTGATTCGTTACACTCAAACGTTAAAATTTAGATGTGTCTAGGGAAGAGGGTACTCCACTTGAAATAGAAGAAAAAATTGCCAATTTATTTGAGAACTTTCTTTTTATGACCAAACAAATTCTCATTACGAGAACAGACAAAAGAATGATACAGAAATATTGAATTTTGCTAATAGCATCGGGTGGACAGGTAGACATAGTAATTTGTTTTTATATGAAAGATCTAAAAATGAATTAAGGTCAGGGTGCACTTTGATGAAAAGACCACGTGCAGTATGGCAAGTGATTTTAGACGCTCATATATTTCACCATGAGTACTTTCTGGGCATAAATACAGTGTTTTTATTGAAACAATACGTTTTCTTTCAAGTGAAGTACCCAATGATAGTAAAAATATCAATCAAACAATTTGAAAAATTATGAATAGGGACTCCATGTCAGCATTTTTTCTAAATATTGAACCTATTTACTCATTAAAGAGGATCTTCTTTTTCTTATTTTTATTGCATGAAAACATTATTATCCTGGAAGTCCTGTCAATCGGTGTATTTCTTTTTCAAATCTTGCATTCACGCCATGTGGAACAGTCATACTGGGTCATACAGGGATTAAGTATAAATCTAGAGGCCTGTAAATCGACCGATGTCCTGGCGGGTGCCGTACGGCCATCGGCAGATAGCCTTGCGATACCCGTGCGATGTCTTTCAGATTCAATTGATTGCGGGCGCCGTACGATGCCTGTACTAATATGACCATACTCACGATTAGATCAAGACGCCCGGCGGCTATGTGACCCAGGCATTAGGAAAAGGCGAATCAAAAATATGACATCAGAATTTTGATTACTCTTACCGATTTTGAGATATGGCGTCCGGAAAGTAGGCCAGAACAAAAAGTTCTCCAAATTCAACATGTAAGTTATGAAATAAGTGTAGAATATGAGTTATGAATTAGGGGTAGAATTTTCTCAGGAATCCGAATCTGGAAACCAAATTTGGATCAGACTTCCGGTTCGGAAGTTATGGCGTTTTGAAAGCTCAAAAATCGCTAAATTTGGTGCCTATGTTAAGTCAATGGGAAAAATTTTTCGAAGTGTAAAATACAAGATATAGACTGAGTACAGCTTAACATAATGAATGCTTATAAAAGAAGGGGACCTCAAAAGCTACATAGCTTCAAAATTTGGACACCAAAATGCCAAGGTCAAAATCTAGGTCAAATTCATAGTTTTTCCTTATTTTTACGATTCTGACACTACACTTTAATAATTTACTTCAAAATTTTGTATACAGGTAGCAAAGAGTGTGCTAATAGTGTTAGCCTTTTGCCGTCAGAAAGTATTTTGACCCACTTTTGAGATATGGTGTCCGAAAAATAGGTAAAAATAAAAAGTTCTCCAAATTTAACATATGAGTTATGAATTAAGTGTAGAATTTTCCCAGGAATCCGAATCTGTTCGGAAGTTATGGCGTTTTGAAAGCTCAAAAATCGCTAAATTTGTTGCCCCATGTTATGTCAATGAGAAAAAAGATTTTTTTGAAGTGTAAAATACCAGATATAAACTGAGTACACCTTAACATTCTGAAAGCCTATAAAAGAAGGGGACCTCGAAGGCTATCTAGCTTTAAAATTTGGACACCAAAATGCCTAGGTCAAAATCTAGGTCAAATATATAGTTTTTCTTATTTTTGCGATTCTGACATTACACTTTAATGATTTGCTTCGAAATTTTGTATACATGTAGCAAAGAGTGTGCTTATAGTGTTAGCCTTCTGCCGTCAGAAAGTATTTTGACCCACTTTTGAGATATGGTGTCTGAAAAGTAGGTCAAAATATAAAGTTCTCCAAATTTAACGTATGAGTTATGAATTAAGGGTAGAATTTTCTCAGGAATCAGAATCTTTAAACCAAATTTCGATCCAACTTCTGATAAGATGATATCCCCATGTTAAGCCAATGGAGTCGAAGATAACATATTTAAGAGTTGTCTAAATGTCTATATTCTAGCTGACTCAGCTTATTCTGAATGACTCAGCTTACAAGTATTTGGATGACTCAGCTTAAAAAAAGTCTGAAATCTGGAGTCTTAAATTGAACTTGTTCAATTTACATGTCTAGTTATTCTTTTTTCTTCCTCCTCACCAAATTTCTCGTCAACTATAACAGCTAACTTAATCCAACTTACATGGTTAACTAAGGACTGTATCCGGCTTTCTGGGAAATTAGGTCAAATTTTTATCTAGGTCAAAGGTCAAGAACTAGGTCAAAATCTTGTGTTTTTACTATTTTGCCAGTTTTCTCAGTCGTCATTCAGTATTTTCGCTCCAGGTTTTTTTCATCATGTTCCTTTGAAAAAACGCTAATTCCGTAAGGCAAATCGTTTTTTGATTACTCTTACCGATTTTGAGATATGGGGTCCGAAAAGTAGGTCAGAACAGCAAGTTCTCCAAATTCAACATATGAATTATGAAATAAGTGTAGAATTTTCTCAGGAATCTTAATCTGCAAACCAAATTTCGATCACGGAAGTTATGGTGTTTTGAAAGCTCAAAAATAGCTAAATTTGTGCCCCATGTTAAGTCAATGGGAAAACGTTTTTTTTGAAGTGTAAAATACTAAATATAGACTGAATACAGCTTAAGATAATGAAAGCCTATAAACGAAAGGGACCTCAAAAGCTACCTAGCTTTAAAATTTGGACACCAAAATGCGTGTGCTAAAAGTGTGCTAATAGTGTTAACCATTTGCCGTCAGAAAGTATTTTGATCCAGTTTTGAGATATGGTGTCCGAAAAGTAGGTCAAACTTAAAAGTTCTCAAAATTTAACGTATGAGTTATGAATAAAGGGTAGAATTTTCTCAGGAATCCGAATCTGCAAACCAAATTTCAATCCGACTTTTGGCTCGGAAGTTATTGCGTTTTGACAGCTCAAAAATCGCTAAATTTGGTGCCCCATGTTATGGCAATGGGAAAAAAGATTTTTTTGAAGTGTAAAATACGAGATATAGACTGGGTAATGAAAGCCTATAAAAGAAAGGGACCTCAAAAGCTATCTAGCTTCAAAATTTGGACACCAAGATGCCTAGGTCAAAATCTAGGTCAAATTTATAGTTTTAACTTATTTTTTATATTTCTGACACTACACTTAAATTATTTGCTTCAAAATTTTGTATACAGGTAGCAAAGAGTGTGCTTATAGTGTTAGCCTTTTGCCGTCAGAAAGTATTTTGACCCACTTTTGAGATATAGTGTCCGAAAAGTAGGTCAACATGAAAGGTTCTCCAAATTTAACTTATGAGTTATGAATTAAGGGTAGAGTTTCCTCAGGAATCCGATTCTTTAAACCAAATTTCACTCCAACTTTTGGTTAGATAGTTATAGCGGTTTTAAGTCTCGAAAAGTTGATATGATGATATCCCCATGTTAAGCCAATGGAGTCGAAGATAACATTCTTAAGAGTCGTCTAAATGTCTATATTCTAGCTGACTCAGCTTATTCTGGATGACTCAGCTTACAAGTTCAGGATGACTCAGCTTAAAAAAAGTTTGAAATCTGGAGTCTTAAAGTGAACTTGTCTAGTTCCATTTTGTCTCTTCTTTTTTTAAAATGACAAAAATGAGATTCTCATGTACTGTAGTAAAAAGGTGATATTTAGGCAATAACACATTCCTAGCTTCCGATGCACCGACCAAACCTACCATACAACCCGCGATAGCGAGTAACACAAAGTTTATATACGGAAAAGAGCTACGAGGAATCTAGAATGTAAATATTCCTTCTATTTATCTAACAAAGAAGGCGAAAGTATATTTTAGCAGATTTCTGTTTTTCCTATCGCCAAAAGCAGTTGGTTCGTCGCGTACCTTGATTAAGGCACGATTGCTCTGAATGAAATGCTAGGCGATTGTGTTTTTTATATTGCCAAAGGTTTCATTTCGAAGAAGCGATCAACGCGTACGTGATTCAAACTTCTAAGAACTGTTTAGAAACTGTTTATACCCGTGTCAATCGAAGTGTCAATCGAAGGACGAATACGTTACGTGTATTTATTTGGAGACAAAGTGAAAAGTAAGCGCGCATAGTCTCTAATACTATAAGAAAAGATTATAACATTAATATCTGATACTCAATTAATTGAGGTTCTTTGTGATTCGAATTCGGAGCCAAAATACAATAATGATCCTAGCAAAAATGCTGGCCTTACCAGCAAATGCGAGGAGAAAAAACCATCCATCGCCGTCGTAGAGATCTGCAATATCATTACGTTAATTCCTAGATACATTCGATATCAATTGACATCTGGCAACACATAAATAGCCTATTACATTACATAGAGAGTCGTGTCAATGTGTTAAGGTACTGTAACAGTTTGGCCTTTTTTGTGGATATGTGGTAGTGTGGCTAATAAAAAGACCACTGTTTAGTAAACGGTGTTTACTTGTGGATTGCACGGCACACGTTAAATGTGCTTTGTCCCTAAAGAATTAAACAGAATATATAATTTTATATATATAATACAAAACAATATATTGTGGCGTTTATAAGCCCAAATAAAAGTACATTTAATTTCAAGTATGTAATGAAGTTATTTTCTTGATTCTATCCTAAAAACTACAGAGTCCATATAACGAAATGAATTATCACTATCACTAATGCTGTATATAATAATATCCAGAGTTCATATAATCAAAGAACAATTCTCTGCATCATCACTTGTCATAACTCAAAAGTCCATGTATTATTGACGATCACTGTTGAAACTTGTTCACACCATTGTTATCCGCCATATAAAATGTTCATATATGATTGTAAGTCGTGTATCTTCTAATTGTAGGAAACAGCTATCTTTACACAAAATTCATAGTGTTCATGCTGAAGCCTAGGGTAGATTCTAAACCAGGAACTGTTGTAGGTGGTATTTGAACTGATGAAACGGAGGCTTCTTCGTCCCTTATTCTCATACACACACGGGAACATATGACGATCATAAAGCATATAATTACAAATAATATTCCACCCAAGACCAATATGATAAAAGGAACATCCAATTCCATAAACCTTAAACTCAGCAACTGTCTTGGGTCTTGCTCTCAAACACTGATGCCCTTGAGCGATACACTTGTATCAAAACAAAACAACGGGCTTTGTAAACTTCTAAGTCCTGTATCCTCGGCTCTGGTTCTCCAACTGGTGTCTGTTTAAACTTCCGTGATGTGAAATCACCAAAATCAAAACAACAGGCTCTGTAAACTCCTAAGTCCTGTATCCTCGGCTCTGGTTCTCCAACTGGTGTATGTTTAAACTTCAGTGATGTGAAATCACCAAAGTCAAAACAACAGGCTCTGTAAACTCCTAAGTCCTGTATCCTCGGCTCTGGTTCTTCAACGGATGTATGTTTAAACTTCAGTGATGTGAAATCACCAAAGTCAAAACAACAGGCTCTGTAAACTCCTAAGTCCTGTATCCTCTGCTCTGGTTCTCCAACTTGTGTATGTTTAAACTTCAGTGATATGAAATCACCAAAGTCAAAACAACAGGCTCTGTAAAACTCCTAAGTCCTGTATCCTCGGCTCTGGTTCTCCAACTGGTGTATGTTTAAACTTCAGTGATGTGAAATCACCAAAGTCAAAACAACAGGCTTTGTAATCTGCTGACTTGTATCTTCTCTGGTAGTTGTCACTGTCAGCTCAAACTGCAAATCAGCCAAGTCTCCAACTTCAGATGTCTTCTTCAGATTAATGTTCTACAAAACTAACTCAAAACATTAAATGCAAGTGTATAAAAATATTCTAAGTCAGTTATACTTCACAAAGTGTCAAAGTCAAATTATTTCTCCCTTAAAAATGACTAAGTTCTGCTATTCTCGAAAAGTAAAGACATTCTAAGTCCCAGTTATCTTTCACTTCAAAATGACAAAGTAAAATCATTTCTTCCTCAAAAATAACTTAGTCCAAGTTTCTTGAATAAATGTAGAAATATTCTAAGTTCCAGTTATCATTCACATCAAACTGACAAAGAAAAATGATTTCTTCCTCAAAAATAACCCTCAAAAATAACTAAGTCCCAGTTTACCAATCTTGGGTAGATGTATATTCAATCTTCAAGGATGCAAAATATTCAATTATGCTGTCATCTCCTGAACCTCTTCTTTGTGTTGTGGTATATTCTAACTTCAATGATAAGTCAATGATTCTCTGGAATCTGAATTCTCCTATATTGTCTTCTCTCTGTAGATGTATATCTTAACTTTAATGATGCGAAATCACCAAAGTAAAAATATCTCGTTGGATAATCTGCTAAGTCCTGGAACGTCTTCTCTGTAGATGTATATTTTAACTTTAATGATGCGAAATCACCAAAGTAAAAATATCTCGTTGAATAAACTGCTAAGTCCAAGAACTTCCTCTCTGTAGATGTATATTCTAACGTTAATGATGCGAAATCACCAAAGTAAAAATATCTCGCTGGTTAATCTGCTAAATCCTGGAACGTCTCCTCTGTAGATGTATATTTTAACTTTAATGATGCGAAATCACCAAAGTAAAAATATCTCGCTGGTTAATCTGCTAAGTCCTGGAACTTCTTCTCTGTAGATGTATATCTTAACTTTAATGATGCGAAATCACCAAAGTAAAAATATCTCGCTGGTTCATATGCTAAATCCTGGAACGTCTCCTCTGTAGATGTATATTTTAACTTTAATGATGCGAAATCACCAAAGTAAAAATATCTCGCTGGTTAATCTGCTAAGTCCTGGAACTTCTTCTCTGTAGATGTATATCTTAACTTTAATGATGCGAAATCACCAAAGTAAAAATATCTCGCTGGTTCATCTGCTAAATCCTGGAACGTCTCCTCTGTAGATGTATATTTTAACTTTAATGATGCGAAATCACCAAAGTAAAAATATCTCGCTGGATAATCTGCTAAGTCCTGGAACTTCCTCTCTGTAGATGTATATCTTAACTTTAATGATGCGAAATCACCAAAGTAAAAATATCTCGTTGAATAAACTGCTAAGTCCAAGAACTTCCTCTCTGTAGATGTATATTCTAACTTTAATGATGCGAAATCACCAAAGTAAAAATATCTCGTTGAATAAACTGCTAAGTCCTGGAACTTCCTCTCTGTAGATGTATATCTTAACTTTAATGATGCGAAATCACCAAAGTAAAAATATCTCGTTGAATAAACTGCTAAGTCCAAGAACTTCCTCTCTGTAGATGTATATTCTAACGTTAATGATGCGAAATCACCAAAGTAAAAATATCTCGCTGGTTAATCTGCTAAATCCTGGAACGTCTCCTCTGTAGATGTATATTTTAACTTTAATGATGCGAAATCACCAAAGTAAAAATATCTCGCTGGTTCATCTGCTAAATCCTGGAACGTCTCCTCTGTAGATGTATATTTTAACTTTAATGATGCGAAATCACCAAAGTAAAAATATCTCGCTGGTTAATCTGCTAAGTCCTGGAACTTCTTCTCTGTAGATGTATATCTTAACTTTAATGATGCGAAATCACCAAAGTAAAAATATCTCGCTGGTTCATCTGCTAAATCCTGGAACGTCTCCTCTGTAGATATGGGGTCCGAAAAGTAGGTCAGAACAGCAAGTTCTCCAAATTCAACATATGAATTATGAAATAAGTGTAGAATTTTCTCAGGAATCTTAATCTGCAAACCAAATTTCGATCACGGAAGTTATGGTGTTTTGAAAGCTCAAAAATAGCTAAATTTGTGCCCCATGTTAAGTCAATGGGAAAAAGTTTTTTTTGAAGTGTAAAATACTAAATATAGACTGAATACAGCTTAAGATAATGAAAGCCTATAAACGAAAGGGACCTCAAAAGCTACCTAGCTTTAAAATTTGGACACCAAAATGCGTGTGCTAAAAGTGTGCTAATAGTGTTAACCATTTGCCGTCAGAAAGTATTTTGATCCAGTTTTGAGATATGGTGTCCGAAAAGTAGGTCAAACTTAAAAGTTCTCAAAATTTAACGTATGAGTTATGAATAAAGGGTAGAATTTTCTCAGGAATCCGAATCTGCAAACCAAATTTCAATCCGACTTTTGGCTCGGAAGTTATTGCGTTTTGACAGCTCAAAAATCGCTAAATTTGGTGCCCCATGTTATGGCAATGGGAAAAAAGATTTTTTTGAAGTGTAAAATACGAGATATAGACTGGGTAATGAAAGCCTATAAAAGAAAGGGACCTCAAAAGCTATCTAGCTTCAAAATTTGGACACCAAGATGCCTAGGTCAAAATCTAGGTCAAATTTATAGTTTTAACTTATTTTTTATATTTCTGACACTACACTTAAATTATTTGCTTCAAAATTTTGTATACAGGTAGCAAAGAGTGTGCTTATAGTGTTAGCCTTTTGCCGTCAGAAAGTATTTTGACCCACTTTTGAGATATAGTGTCCGAAAAGTAGGTCAACATGAAAGGTTCTCCAAATTTAACTTATGAGTTATGAATTAAGGGTAGAGTTTCCTCAGGAATCCGATTCTTTAAACCAAATTTCACTCCAACTTTTGGTTAGATAGTTATAGCGGTTTTAAGTCTCGAAAAGTTGATATGATGATATCCCCATGTTAAGCCAATGGAGTCGAAGATAACATTCTTAAGAGTCGTCTAAATGTCTATATTCTAGCTGACTCAGCTTATTCTGGATGACTCAGCTTACAAGTTCAGGATGACTCAGCTTAAAAAAAGTTTGAAATCTGGAGTCTTAAAGTGAACTTGTCTAGTTCCATTTTGTCTCTTCTTTTTTTAAAATGACAAAAATGAGATTCTCATGTACTGTAGTAAAAAGGTGATATTTAGGCAATAACACATTCCTAGCTTCCGATGCACCGACCAAACCTACCATACAACCCGCGATAGCGAGTAACACAAAGTTTATATACGGAAAAGAGCTACGAGGAATCTAGAATGTAAATATTCCTTCTATTTATCTAACAAAGAAGGCGAAAGTATATTTTAGCAGATTTCTGTTTTTCCTATCGCCAAAAGCAGTTGGTTCGTCGCGTACCTTG